AAACCTTTGCAGGTGTTTTGAGTTGATTAGATGATTGGCATGTCACCATATTCTAATTTGTTGAGATAGTGAATTGGTGGGTTTTTGTTAAATGTGAGCCAAAATCATCACAATTAAAAGAACCAAAGACTTAAACAATTTCAGTCTGTGTGCATTGAATTTATTTAATACACGAGTTTCACAATTTGAGTTGAATTACTGAAATAAATGAACTTTTCCACAACATTCTAATTTATTGAGATGCACCTGTAAATTAGTAACAGATGAATATCAAATCGACTTTCGCCCGGATGGTTTGTGTAGTGTGAGCGGATGTCATAGACCTGTCATGGACAGTTGTGTGCTTTGTGTGTATACCAGTGTCTTTATCCTCACAACATGCTCGATTCATTCACAGATCTGGAGAAAGAGAGCTTTATTTCTGAAGTGCCGCTCCAGGGTACGCCACGGTAAAGAGGGCTGAACTGTGTCCATGTGTGTGCTTGCTTGGAGTGAGCATCTTGCATATAATCATATTAGATTTTATTACGCTATTGTGTTGTATTGGGAAACATGAAATGCATGGCAACATGATCGGCTTCTGTAATGTGACTTACGAGTGTGTAAAACTGAATATTATGTGGGAAATGAATGAAATAAAGGTGACTAGGGTGGGACCTCATTTTATCCATCTGTATGTATTGGGTCGGTCGTGTTTGCTACGTGGTGTTTACTGTTGCTATTGCTAATACTTTATTTTAGGATTAGAGGCTTATTTAAATAAATAGCCATAAGTATTAAACTTCAGGATGTAACTCATCCTGCACCATTCGTGCTACAGGCATGAATGAATGAAGTCATGTGGCTTTTTGAGGAGAAGTGCTATAATTGTAGTAAAATTAAAGCTTTTTAAGAACATATTTAGAAAATCTCAATAAATACACATTTTAAATCCACAATTCTATCCCAGAGTTTGGTCAGGCTAGCCTAATAAAGTTTTCAGATGAATAATGCCCATTATTCACTCAAAAAAAGGTACAAAAGCTGTCACTGGGGCAGTACCTTTTCAAAAGGAACACCTTTGTACCCTAAAGAGCCCATATTGGTACCTTAAAGGTATTGGTACCTTTTGTACATTTTTTCTGAGAGTGTTGAAAACAGTTTAGAGAGCTAAAATTGATTTATTTTACCTTGATTTTTGAAACTTCCTTAACATTAAAGATTATTAGCCACATGAGAAACAGTCTCTAAATAAAGACTACATTACCTTCCTTGTATGATAAAATGTCTGTGGACATAAAAGCATCATCATGTTCATTAGCTGTGTTTTTTATAGAGTCTGAGTCTCTAATTGTGTCATGTTACATAATTATATATCTGTGTTGGAGATGCAGTTTTCTGTGGCTGAATGCTGTGCAGCTCATTCAGTCCCAGCCCGATTTACTTAACCACACATATACTTACTCTATATGTCAGCGCAGGAGTGTACGGTTATTATTGCCTGCTTTTTTTACCATATGTTCATCATATGTTCATATGCATCATCTCCAACTTGTAATTACAGGAAATGAAAGAGGGAGAGACCTGTAGTGAAAGAACAGCAGCTGCTCTGCCAGGTCAAACATACTCCTGCTTACAGTAGAGACAGCAGGATGTTAATTTAGAAGATGTTTGCACAGAAGAGTATTTCTATGTGTGCCAGTGAGATCTGTTTACAAAGGGATCAGGCTACATCACTTTTAAAGGGACAGTTCACCCAAACAATAAATTTCGGCCATCATTCAGTTACACCACAGCAGGAAGATATTATAGTACATATAGTGAACAACATGATGTGAGTGAGTACATGATGCCAGAAATTGGACAAAAAGATTTTGGAAACGTATGAGATAGATGTGAGAAAGACCGAGTGAATCAGATTCAGGCCTTATTATTTACATGCTGCTGTGACTCTTTGATGCTGAGGTTTAGTGCTTTTGAAAATGTCACGATCTGTCAATGAATTTTTTCTTTGACATGCAAATGACAGTAGAGATAGCATCGATGTGGAAAATTGTATTGCTCAGCTCATTGTGTTCATAGCTCAGCTTAATAGGTTTGTTCACCTAAATTTGACTGTTCTGTCCATTTTACTGACTTACTTAATCAGTCATATCAATTGGATTTACATTTAGTATATCATAGTCTTGAAGGCGGTCTCTTTAGCCCAGCACAATAGTAACCACAAAACAATGCATTATATTGCTAAAAAAGACCTTAGCAACCACATAGCAACCAAGCTTGCAATAACATAACAAGGTGCTAATAAACATCCATAACTCCTTTGTAACCACACAAAAACTCCATGACAATCACTTTTCAATGCTCTAACAGGAACATACTGTGGCTAAAAACATGCAAAAAAAATAAATGCTAAAATACAGAGATTAAAAAAAGCTGTTAGGTAAATGCAACATGCAACATGGCAAATCAAAAGATTTTTCACCTATAGGTGCAAAAATTATAGCATTTTTTTTACTTGGATTTCATTAACTAGCTGCGTAACATGAACATGACCAATTTAAGTTTATAGGACAACTAAACGATCAATTTAAACAAAAATATACCGTCAACTACAGACGTTGCATCCATCGATTCCGCCATGTTTGTCATTGACGCCCGGGGCTTAAAGAAAATTTTGAGTTTCCCACTCGTAATAACGACTTTGTGGTGGCGTTCATGTGCATTCAACTCGTAAATACGATCTATCCGACATGACTTGAACACACCATTAGCAACCACATAGCAACACCCTAACAACAACACTTGCATCCACACAGAAGACAAAGCATGTGTATTCATATAGCACATTTCCTACACACACACTTTTTGATACCCAAACTTAAATAGTTGTAATTCTTAAATGATTTGGAACACAGATCTAAAATTGATCTGTGATCTTTTAAAGAAGACAATCAGTGAATTATTGCTGAAGTGAAAGCATTTAAAAATAAAAAGAAGGTGTAAAAAGTATTAGAAGTTTAAGTTTACTGTAAAGAAAATGTACTGTACGAAACATTTTATTTTATGTAACTAATTAAATATTGCTATAAAACATGCTATAAAAGCAAAGCCATATGGCTAACTAAGTTATGTTCCAAATTTAAAGTTGATATCACAAAAATTGAGGTTCCTGTGAGAATTGTTTTATGCATTTTCCTGTCATGAATTTATAAATTTATAACAGTACTACTTCAGTCACAAACTAGTCACTAAATATGGAACCCTGAGGACCTTTGCAACAGTGTTTTGTCAAGATTAGAAAAAGTATTTTGATTATAAAATATTGTAGTAAATTTTCTAATATGAGAGTTGACACCGCCCACTATGGGGAGGAGCTCGGTAAAAGGTTTTAAATGTCCATTTCCATGGTAATGCAGTGTCTGATTTCAGAACAGGATGAATTTTGAGTGTTATCTAATTTAGGATGATTACTAAAATATGTGATTTCAAAAAAGGCAATAAAAAATAGCTAGCGAGACACTGACAGTTAACAGGTTAAAGAAAAAGATAAGAACACAAAAGTCAAGATTAAAATCATTTAAGAGCATAAAAATAAATAAGAAATGAAACAAAATGAAGTTGATAGAAATCTGTATTAAAAGGAAAAATAAGGCTGGAAAGGACAGAATTTGAAATAAAATAATACATTGCAATCAGCAAAGCACAATACAGTGTCACCAAACAATACCCTAGCAACTCCATAGCAATGGGCTAAAGAAAATCTCAGAACACCTCAGGAACTGCACAGTTGCAATAGCAACCCATAACACTCCAGCACCGCTCCTGTTTCCTTCAGAACGTGTTCAAATCTAGTGATTACATATGGCGTCTGCCCTGCTGGCACGATGATGATGACATCTCTGTGAGCCCCCTGCTCTCTGTCTCTCTTGTTCCGCTCTGTTAAGGACTGGGCGTGTGTGAATCTTAAAGGAGGGCTGCTCTGCAGAGAGTGTGTGTGTGTGTGTGTGTGTGTGTGTGTGTGTGTGTGTGTGTATGTGTCCGATTAGCTGGGCTGTTGTAGGAAGGGAGGTGGTCTCCATCTCCGGAGACTCCCAGAATCTTGAATGATGCAGCACTTAATAGATAGATTTGAGGTAAAGTCTTTCTTTTTTCTCCATTTCTCTCTTTTCCTTCCATCTCCCGTCTGCTGTTTGTGTAATAACGGAGGAAGATCTCTGGGGAATTTAATACTCAGGGGTCCTGACATTACTATGGATGACTAACGGTAATTGCGTTTACTAATGGATGCTGGTGTGTATTCCTTAGTCGTGTTCTCTAGCAGGGAAGCGTCAGCTGTAGGCTGCTGGTAATCATCTGGAGGTTTTGTTTGTAGAAACAGCCTAAGAAAATCAGCGGTGTTTGCCGGTTAAACCTCAGAGAAATGTTGTTTGGCTTGGTCACATCTCTGGAAGTGGCCATGAGAGAATGTAGAGGTGTTTTACGTCCTGGGCTGGCTTTGTGTTCAGCGGCTGCATTTGTTTGTGTTATGCGTTGTATGTAGGTTATTTTTAGTTGCTGGAGAACAGCTGCAGACTGGCAGGCCTGGTGAGGTATTTTCCTGGCTCTGAGTGAGTCCTGCAGTTGTTTAGCTTTGGCCAGTGTCATTGGGGTGAATATGCCTCTCTCAGGGCTGATCTGAGGTCAGTGCAACTAGTAAACTGTAAACTGTGATTAAAATACAGTTTAAGAAAGATGTTCATGACACTTGCCTGGTGTTGAAGACGTGTGTATCTCTGCAGAGGCCTTTGTATTTGTTTGGATTGAGAGATAGTCAGACTGTCTTGAACAGCAGGTGGCAGCAAACACACTGCTGTATAATCTGATCTGTAGGAGAGGAAGAGAGTTACGGGGCTGCCATTTCAGGCTAATTCTACCTAAGTATTCAGTATTATATTTAAGATTATATTTTTCATTTTTGCCACTAGTATTATGGAGAGAAAGAGGGGGATGGGATTAGAAAGAACCAACAGCTGGGATTCGAACTCGGGTTGCGTGCACACAACTGAGCTGGGTGTCGAGGCTTAGTGAAAGTGTGTACAGATTGGCTGTAGTTTACGGACAAAACTGTCCCTGGAAGTTCACAAAAACATGATAAAAACTTCTATAACTTCAATATATGTTTTCTATGGGAAAAATAAATTCAATGAAAAATAAATAAATACTGAAATAATAAATGTTGGGTTTGGGTTTTTGGGTTCACCCAAAAATGAAAATTGTGTCATTATTTACTCACCCTCAAGTTGTTCTTTCTACTGTTGAACATGAATGATATTTTCAAGAATGGGGGTAACCAAACACCTTGTGGTCCCCATTGACTTCCAAAGTATTTTCATGGGACCTGTTTGTTACCCCATACAACTATGAAAAAAGTTTTCACCTCCAGGCTCTTAATGCATGGTTTTTCCTTCTGGAGCATCAGGGACTGTTTGAACTTTTTGTAATAGATTCCCTCAGTTGTCCTCAGTGTGAAAAGATGGATCTCAAAATCATACAGTCATTGTTGGAAAGGGTCCAAATACGTAAAAGATTCTGGAACATCAAAGAATTTGTGGGACTAGAAGGATTTTTCTGTAGAACAGCGGGCAGTTTAACTGTTCAGGACAAACAAGGGACTCATGAACAACTATAAAAAAATAAAAATAAATAGATAAATAAAATAAAAACAGCTGTGGATCATCCAGATAACAACACAGTATTAAGAATCAAGCGTATGTAAACTCTTGAATGGGGTCATTTTTATAAATTCAGCTATATTTTCTCTTGTGGACTAAATGTAAACGTCTTTTATGTGAAATATCTTGTTCAGGTCACTACTAAATACACATTAACATGCATTTTGTATGATCCCTCTTATTTTGGTAAAATAATTAAAATTTTGCAGATACTGCAAAGTGTACGTAAAATTTTGACCACAACTGTAGATATCCACATTTGCATTTATCCTACTGTAAGACTTTTTGACATTTTTAAATATATTTTGGTATATGAGGGTTGAAACTAAATATATTTTCTATTTAAAAAATATATATTTTATTGAGCTTCACAGATTACAACATATATACAGCGTATATTTAAAATATATTTTGGACACAAAAATATATATATATATTATCCGTGGATGTAGACACTAATACAGTTATCGTTATATATATATATAATCATATATTATCATTCTTGGTGTCAACAAGCTTAGTAAATGCATGACCTCTGTTGAACATTAAAAGTTCTGCAGACACAAATGCATCATCATTTGAGTAAAGGTGCGGTCACATTAGTGAGATTTGACAGGTAAAAATATGTCCATGCATGAAGCACAGCTCATAAAGATGTCACGCGAAATTACGTGACCAACTTAAACCTGGTGCAAAATCTGCAAGTCTTTCCACTCAAGATTCCCAATTTGATAAGGATTCTATTGAAATGACTGGATTTCGGCCGCAAAAATTTGCTGAACATCGGTAAATGTGACTGCATCGAGTCTGGCTTTTATAGCATGCAGCTTGTGCTGATGTATTTGCTCAGGTTTTATACACGCATGAAGCCTGTGTGTGTGTGTGTGTGTGTGTGTGTGTGCGGCAGGATGCTTGTATTGTTTTTGTGGGAGTTAGACAACAGACTGTTATGAACTGGTTTGAAATGTTGAAACTGCAGTAAGACTGTCATGTTTAATAATTAATAAGCCTTCATTACATATAGACAATATCACAGTGTCTGAACAAACACCCAGCTCTGTTTCATTAAGATGATGATATTTTATACAGTATCTTCATATCATGCATGGATTAGCTTTATTACCATTTCAAGGGTTTCAAGAGTTAGAAAACATTATGAAGCTTCAGTACTTCACATAAAAGCTCGACTTTGTTAAAATAAATGTTTGTGTGCAGGTAGATAAGCAGCAGCAGAGCAAGGACTCCGTGTACTTCAGAGATGGCATACGGAGGATAGATTTCATTCTGTCTTACATCGACGACAAGGATGGAGAAAAGAAACAGGTGTGTCATCCACCCAGTTATGTTTCATAGTTGATAACAATTTCTGTTTTACAGGTTTATATTCATATGATAACTTTTGGCATCCTTCTGTGAGTTGTGAGATAATTAGGGAAAAATATTATGATTTGCCTAAACAAATTACTAACTCGTAAACTAATACCCATCCTGCAAAACATTTTTTCCTAACCCTTAGAAAAGGTAATTAGCATTGAGTCAGAGCCGCTTATGTAAGAACTTGCTGTGTGGTTTAATCTCTCTATAGATCTGTTAAAGGTTTATCCGATTGTGCATCCCTTCACACTGCTGATAACACTAGCTGTCATAAAACTGAAGGCATCCTAAATACATTTTCCAGTCATAAATTTTCCACAAAGTTAAAAGTTGTTGCATGAGTTAGTTTCACCTCTTTAGGTGAGTTCTGTACATCTTTGCTTTGATCAGTTTACATAATTTACATCAGATTAAAAAGAGAAAGTTCAGTGTTTGTCATACAGTTTATTTAAAGCATACATTATGTTGCTCATAATGTTTGTCAAAGCCAAATTTTACTTGTAAGTGTTAGTTTTGGACTAACGCTTACAAGTTTGGCATTTATGGTAAACTAAAATATATTTAAATGTCATGTCTATTAAAACCTGAATGCCATCTATTTAAATATATTTGTAATTTCACATTGTAATGATGATGTTGCAATAAAGTACATTTAAAATATCTAAACTTTAAATGTAATATCCAATAGGACTGCAGATACAATTACAATCAAGTTTTTTTTATGCGCTTAAATATGTTAGCTATCACATCAAAACAAGTGCACCTTTTAAAAGTGATTCTTTAAATCATGACAAAAGATTAAAATTTACTTTAAACTAAAACATTTTAATTTGTCATTATTACTGTAACGAATCAGTCCACTGAAGGCGAGAGTAGTGAAGAACCCATGTGCAGTTTATTTACAGACGTGATCCAAACATAAACCGAGACACAGACTTGACGAGGGATGAACAGACTAGACACACCGACAGCGGGTTACAACTTCAATACAAGACAAAGACTATGGGAACATGATGGCTACTTATATCAGACAATGAGGGTCACATGACAAGAACAAACCAATGGGAAACAAGACACATGACTAAGACAACCAATCAGAACATGACACATACACAAAGCAGAGATACATGATTGCAAGGGAAGCATGACACTGACAGCATGAAACAATTACAAAATAAAACATGAACAAGACATGTCCCCCCCCACTGAAGGCCTAGGTGTAAAATGCACGGCCCGCCACTGGTTTATGCCCCAAATTGGGACAACTTTAACTTCATTCATAAAATCATCTCACATCTATCAGATTTAAATACATACAAATACATTTTTGGCAGAGATTTAAGTTGTGTTGTTAACCCGAAATTAGATTATTCTCTGTAACAAATTAGTCCCCTGAAGCCGAGAGTAGTGAAGAACCCATGTGCAGTTTATTTACAGACGTGATCCAAACATCCAAACATAAACTGAGACACAGACTTGACATGAACAGACTTGACTTGGCATGAACAGACTAGATTCACCGACAGCGGGTTACAACTTCAATACAAGTCCAGGAGGGTGGTGGAGTGCTTATCTTGGCCGGGGACTCAGGCGTGGCGGCCATCTTGGCCGGGGACTCAGGGGGAACTGGGGGAGGGACGGAGGGTCAGGCCCATGAAGTGGAGCAGGCAGAGCAGGGAGCCATGGCGGGGCAGGCAGAACAGGGCAGACTGTGAGTTCATGAACGGCCTCCTTGGCCATGGCAGGGCGGACAGTGAGTTTGTGAACGGCCTCCGTGGCCGTGACAGAGCAGACAGTGAGTTCGTGAACAGCCTCCGTGGTCGTGACAAGACAGTCTGGGAGTTCGGAAGCGGCCGCCACCACCTCAGGAGGTTCTGCAGCGGATGCCGCCACCTCTGGAGGTTCTGCAGCGGATTCAGGCATAGGAAAGACCCTTGAAAAGGACTTGTGGATAGGAGAGGCCTCTGAGACAGACTCATAGGCAGGAGATGCCTCTGGGGCAGATTCAAGGACAGAAGAGGCCTCTGGGGCAGACTCGTGGACAGAAGAGGCCTCTGGGGAAGATTCGTGGACAGGAGAGGCTCCTGGAGCAGACTCGTGGACAGGAGAGGACTCAGGAGTGCTTTACCATGCCAGTTAAGTCCAAATTTACTCATGTCATGTCCACCATGTTAAAACCTGCTCACGTCATGTCTGCCAAGCCCACACGCAGCCCACACGCTCAAAATGGCGACCGCCATTACAGGAAGGGCAGCAGAGTGTGGCATGACCTCGAAGACAGCGTTGCTTGAGAGCGCTGACATCACCGGGATGCCTGCAGCTCGCACCGACATCAGAGGTGGATCCATCACACTAGCAATCAGTCTTTTGTTGAGAGCGTAGGGACCACTGGAATGTCAGCCGCTCTCACTGACATCAGTGGTGGGTCCATCACACTAGCAATCAGTCTTTTCAGTCCTCGACCAAGCTCTGCATTCGCATGAGCTTGGGCACTATAGCCCCCCCCAAAAATAATCCTTAGAGGAGAGGCTCAGGCGTGGTGGCCATCTTGGCCGGGGACTCGGGCGTGGCGGCCATCTTGGCCGGGGACTCAGAAGTTCTGTTGTGGCAGGTACTGTAGGATAGCTGTGTTCTTCATCAACAACCCCCACAGTAAATGCAGAGCCACTCAATCGCAATGCATAATTTCTCAAGAGTCCATTGAGGGATATTGCGTGGCATTAAATGTGATATGTTTTTAACCAAACCAAAACGAAAAATGTCTTTCATGAAAGTCCACCAAATGACACAACTTACAAAAGTCTGCCACATAATCCTCTATAGGCCAGCTTCCTTGGCGAAGTCGAATGAGACGATCTGCTGGGTTCATTTTGGTGGTCGTGTATTCTGTAACGAATCAGTTCACTGAAGGCAAGAGTAATGAAGAACCCATGTGCAACTTCAATACAAGACAAAGACTATGGGAACATGATGGCTACTTATATCAGACAATGAGGGTCACATGACAAGAACAAACCAATGGGAAACAAGACACATGACTAAGACAACCAATCAGAACATGACACATACACAA